TCGGGTATAATAAGGATCATAAGACTGGTGCAGGACTGGCAGTGTTTCATTCTGTTGTACATAGGGTTGCCATGAGTCGGAGCTGACTCGATGGTACCTAACAGCACCCCGAATCTGAAGGGAAAAGGTGAGTATCTTTCTGAGGGAACTGCTTAGCAGGTTAGGAGGCTTACTGGGCTCAGCTGAATTTCCAGCCAAAGAAAATTTGAGCCCTGCTTTCTAACCCTCCAGATGTATATCAGGTGACACGTTGGGTTTGGGGACCTTAGTTTGTTTTCTAGCAATTTTTAGAATAGTACTTTTTATTCATAAACACCTTTCCGTGTCAATAACTATACTTCCAGATTATTTTTAATGAGTATACTTTATTTCATCTCATAAATGAGCTAAATTAATTCAACCTAACTCCTACTGTTAGACATTTTTGTTTTTGTTTTTCTCCATTTTTCATCATTAAGAACATTTTTATGTCTAAAATCTCCATGAACTTTGGAGCCAGACTCTCTAGGGGTTGTATTCTGCCTCTTGGACCTATGAAATCTTGGACAAGTAACTTAATCTTTTTGTACCTAAAAATGTAAGTTAGGAATTAGTTACGCTGCTACTCACAAGAGATCTTAACAGTAGCTTAAATAATGAGGATATTTACTATCACTGACTCACATATGTTCCATCTTTCTGCTCTGCCATCCTTAGCACGTTACTTTCATCTGCAACATCACCTCATGGTCCCAAATGACTACTGGTGCTCTAGCCATCACATCTTAATTCTACACAGCAGGTAAAAGAATAAAAAAGGGCACACTCATTTTACAGAGCTTTTCCAAATGTCCCTCTCACTCCTCACCCCCCCACACAGTTTTAAGAGCTTTTCCGAAAGTCCCATCCAACATTTGCCTCTTATATCTCATTGTCTGGAATTTACTGTACACCTTTTTGCAAGGAAGACTGGAAAATGTAGTCTCGGCTTAGCACATTGCTCTCCCAAATAATACTGGGGTTCTGTTTCTAAGGAGAAAGGTGAGGATAAATATTGGGTAGGCAACTTGCAACTTCTCCCACACTGTTTTCCATCTATATAATGGTAATTACTATAGTACCTGAAGAAGCCCTGGTGGTACAGTGGTTAAAGCATTTGGCTGCTAATCAAAAGTTGGTGGTTCTAACCCACCAGGCACTCTGTGGGAGAAAGATGAGGCAGTCTGCTTCAGTAAAGATTTACAGCCTTGGAAATCCTGTGGGGCAGTTCTACTCTGTCCTGTAGGGTAGCTATGAGTTGGAATCGACTTGATGGCAGTGGGTTTAGTTTGTTGGTTTTATGTCATAAGGGTGTTGTTCTCTATCTGTTACATGGTATCTTGTAGGGACTCAATAAATGTTGTACATTCAAGAGAGAATGAAGTGGAAATGGCAAATATTAGCATTACTGTGAAAACAATTTTGACCTCACAGACCCTGTGAAAAGGTCTCAGGAACCCCCAGCGTCCCCTGATCACACTTTGAGAACAACTGCCTTAGAGAAACAGATAATTCTTATGTGGGCCTTCGAGACAATACTCCAGTGTGACACTGCTTTTACAAAGTTTGCATGATTTTTATTAACAGACATGACCTAGGCTGTATCTTTCATAAATTTAGCATATTCTGTGATGATCTTTTCTGGTATGTCTCTCTCCCCTCTAGAAATGTTAGTCCCATCGAGGATTGCCAGGCTGGTTTCCCACTGACCCCAGTGCTTGGCACATAGAAGGAGTTCCATAAACATAATTTGAATGAATGAAACAACTATAATAGATAAGAAAGAAACCATATTAATGCAGATTTGCATAGTTTGTTCTGACTCTTCTCTCCATTAAACACACTTAAAAATTCTGACTCAGACTTTGTCAAACCCTCCACCTCATGATCAGGGGCCTTGGGCCAGAAATATCCCTGGTAACTGACAGCTTGGACTCTGGAGTCAGACATGCCAGAGTTTGGGTTTTATTGCTGTCCTTCTCTCCTCTGTATCCTGGGTCAGCTTACTTGATGATTAGCCCACCGAACTAGTATTTAATGAGCACTTACTAAAGACATGCCTTTGAGCTAGGCACTGGAAGTAATTAGAGGGGTGATTGGGGTAAGAAGATCTCAACAACAAAATAAAAACCCAAAGCTGTTGCCATGGAGCCGATTCTTTACAGAATATTACTGAGCTCCATAGGGTTTTCTTGGCTGTCATATTTATGGAAGCTGACTGCTAGTCCTTTCTTCTGCAACACCACTGGGTGGGTTTGAACCACCAACCTTTAGGTTAGTAGTTGAGAACAAACAATTTGCACCACTCAGGACCTGATGATAAAACAAGTATATTAACTGAGAAATGCTATGAAAAATCAGAATGTTCTGACAAAGTCGGGAGGAAACACCTGCCTCTACAAGGTGGATGGGGAAGGCCTTACTGGGAACCCAGGGCAGGGTGATTGAAAAGAATAGGTAGAACAACAGAAAAGATTTGGAGCCCTCATGTGATCTTGGGTTTTGTTGCCCAAGGTAAAGAATTTGACTTTTATTCTATGTAGGATGAAGAGCCTGTGATGGTTTTTCTGAAATCTTGGTATTTAAATTTGTATTGCATTAATTGCTAATGAGGTTTACATTTTCTCATTTTTAACCGTTTGTATTCTTTTGTGAACTATCTGCTCACGTTCTCTACTGAGGTTTTAGCGACTTTCTAAATCATTTGATGAGATTAAGGAATTTAATCTTTTGTCGTGTGCGTTTGCTTTTTAATTATGGTTTCCGTCTTTGGATATAAGTTTTAGATGTTTGTGCCTTGGCGTGTGAGAGACTTCATCCATCACTTTTAAGCTTAAGAAATTCTCCACCATCCTATATTTGATTAAAAAAAAAAAAAAAAAACCTTAATTTTTGGTTCATCTGTGGTTCCATGTTCGCAGACTTTTCAGTTTTTATTCTCCTGTGCGCGGCCCGGCAAACTCCTCCTCGGGTTCCCAGCCCCCAAAGGCTCAGGATTCGCAGACCCCCTGCGCATAGAGGCCCATGGCCTATACAGACAGAGCCAGAGGGCCATTTTCCCCGCGGGAGGCTCGGCGGTGACACCCACTCTTTCTGGGAATCCGCGTCCGTCACAGACCCAAAGGGCATTTACACACGGGGCAGGGTCAGAGGCCTTTTCTAGTGGTGAGAAAACTGAGGCTGAGTAGATAGCTGTGACCTTTGGGAGGTGAGTGTTAAAGCGTTTTACAGCCTAGAACCAAAAAAAGAAAAACCAAGCTCACTGCTGTGGAGTCCGATCAGACTCATAGCGACCCCTTCTTGGGTTTCCGAGGCTGTATCACTATGGAAGTAGATTGTCCAACCGTCCTTCCGAGGAGTGGCTGGTGGGTTTGAACCGCCAGGTTTCTGGTTAGCAGTCAAATGCCTTAAGCACTACGCCACCAGAGCAGGCTCAAAAGTTGGAGCCGGGCCAGCTTGAGCCGCCATCTCAGCTAGTCTGGCCGGGCGCAGTTCAAACCCGTGAGCTGAACCCTTGGCCCTAGACCCTGCTCCTGGGCCCCGCCCCTAGCGCCAGTCGGGTTCCTTGGCCAGGCCGCTTCCACAGCCCTGGCCGCAGCCCCTGCAAGTCTGATGTTGACCTCTCAGCACAGATTGGCCTGTTCCAGTGCCCACCTACCAATTATGTCATTGGTTATCTCGCAGGCCCCGCCCCTCGGAAGGCCCGGCTGATTTTCGAGGCCAATAGGCAGGCGCAGCGGTGGCGGCGGCGGGCGCGGCGGAGCTTGGGCGCTGAGGTACCGGGGCCTGCAGTTAGGGGGCCGCGGTCTGCTGCTTGGCCTCGCTTGTTGGCTCGGAGGCGACCCCTGGCTGGAGGGGGTTACCAGGACTGTCGATGGCCGGACAGCCGGTCATCCTAAGGTTGGAGGTCAGAGGTCAGAGGTCGTGCCTTTACGGAACGTCGGGGCCCCGCCCTTGAGAGCTAGTGGGCGGTGGCTGCCCAGTTTCTTTGTCAGCCCCTTCATGGGGACCCTCTCCTTTCACGAAAAGGGCTGGAGAGAAACTGAGGCCCGAGAGCAGCCAGGCCCCCTTGAAGGCCCGGAGCTTGGACGAGAAAGAGGTTTGGGATCGGGCGGTGGCCCCGACCTCCCAGCCTCCCAAGGCCTGGGGTTCCGCGCCGGGGTCACAGGCTATCATCGATGAGCTGCTCCCCAGTGGCTCCGAAGGGCCCTGGGGCCAGTTATTTTTGAGGCTGTCAGTCCTGAAGCATGAGATTTCAGTTCTGAATCTCGAACGATTTGGAGAGGGGAAAGGAGGTGTTGTGTCTTTGAACTTGGCTAACAGTGAAAATATAGTCATGAAGATGTAATTGGTGCAAAGTGGCCTGTGAGAAACGGGGCGAATTTCTCAGTTGAACAAGGATTTTCCCCTAACTTGCCCCACATATTATATAATTCAGCCTGTTTCAAAATAAAAGTAATTTCATCTCATCATGCTTCTTGGTAAGCAAGGGTCCTTTAGTATCAGTGAAGATATTTCAAGTGCACCAAGTATTGAATACGAATTTCTGGGAAAAGGTTGGGAGTTTAAGATTCTCAGTGACTAGCCAGGGATGCAGTGCTTAATTACTTCTCAAGGCAAGGATTCCCCTCCTTTTACTACTTATAGATCACAAATAGAAATGGTTTCGTTACAGATATGGGTGTTGGGGAGACCAACTGTGGATGAGGACTAAGGGAAGAAGAAAGGGGAAGCTTTGTTCTATGAGCAAAAAATACACACGTGGGGAAAAGTCAGTGGGTTGTTTATTTATTTATTTATTTAACTGCCTACCTGTTTCCATCTCAGCCATTTTTTGTACTGATGGTACTTGTTGAGTATGTATAATGATTAGGGAGAGAAATAATCTCTGACAGTAAAAGACACTTATCTTTAGTGCACCCACAGAAGAATGCACTTGCCTTGTGTGGAATTAACCTTGGGTTTGGTTTTCAGTTAAGAAAATGAGGCAGAAGGAAATGTTAACCAAGCCCTTTCAAGGCCCAGCAGTTGTGTGTAAGACACCGAGCAGCCACGTTTACTTGTTTAAGGATGGCGGTGGGGACTCGGGAGACTCCTCTGAGGAAGAGTCGCCCCATGTGGTTCTGCGGCCCCGGAGCAAGGACTGTACTCACCACCCTCACCAGTCTGGAGCCACCGACATGGTACTGTTACAGCGGGAGCTGGCCCAGGAAGACAGCCTCAACAAGCTGGCACTGCAATATGGCTGCAAAGTAAGGAGCCCTCCCAGGGGACAGGGTGAGGGACACAGAGGAACTCACTGATAGATGGGGTCCTTGCTGCCTCCAGATGGCGACTTCATGTGTTACAGAGTAGAATTGCTTCCATAGGATTTTCTTGGCTGTAATCTTTACAAAAGGAGCCCTGGTGGTACAGTGATTAAGCTCTCCACTGCTAACTGAAAGGTGGGCAGTTCGAATCCACTAGCAGCTCCACAGGAGAAAGATGTGGCAGTAGGCTTTCTGTAAAGACTATAGCCTTGTTTCACCAAAGAGGACATTCAAATGGCCACTAAACACACAGAAAGATGCTCAGCATTATTAGTTATCAGAGAGATACAAATCAAAACCACAGTGAGACGCCATTTCACTTCCACTAGGATGGCTAAGATTTAAAAAAAAAAAAAAAGTGAAAATAACATGCTGATGAGGATGTGGGGAAATTGAAACCCTTATTCATGGCTGGTGGGAATGCAAAGTAGTATAGCGGTTGTGGGAAAACAGTGTGGCAGTTCCTCAAAAAACTAAAAAATAGAACTACCGTATGACCCAGCAATTCCACTCCTGGGTATATACCTAAAAGACTTGGTTGGGGGGAGACTTGTATACCAATGTTGGTAACACTATTCACAGTGGCCAAAAGGTGGAAACAACCTAAATGTCCATCAGCAGATGAATGGATAAACAAAATGTGGTACATACATACAATGCAGTACTATTCAGCCAGTATGAAAAAAGAAGTCTTGATACATGTTACAGTGTGGATGGAGCTTGACGACATTATACTGAGCAAAATGTCAGTCAAAAGGACAAATATTGCATGACCTTACTTCTATAAAAAGACAAGAAAAGGCAAACTTTTCTTGACCAAAGTTTATTTGTGGTTACCAGGAGTGGGAGGAAGAAGGTAATAAGGGGGTTAATGGTGTTGGAAAAATATCACCAGTTATGGTAATTGCTGTCACTAAGTTATACATCTGTAAAAAGTAGAATTGGCAAAAATATGACAGGTATGTTTACCAAAAAAAAACATAGTAGCTGCTGAGGCTGCTTATATACAATGAAACACTTCTTGGGGTGGCATTTGATTTCTAGGTTTGGAGGTATAGGGTCATGGTTTCATGAGACATCCTAGTTAATTGACCTAATAACTGAGTGCTTCTGATCTACCTCCTAGTTCCTTGCGTAGTGCCTGGGGTCTTAAAAGCTTACAAATGGGCATCCAAGGCACAACAGTTGGTCTTTATTCACCTGCAGCAGCAGAGAAAGGAGAGTGAGGAATAGGTGGAAGATATAGAATGTGTGGCTAATTGCCTCCATGGCCATCTTTGCCATGAGACCAGAAGAACAGGATGATGCCTGGCTACCATTACTAAACATTTTGGTCAGAGATTCCCTAGAAGAATCCTGATCAAAAGAGGGTAATATAGAACACAATTTCAAATTCTCATGGTCTTTAGACTTTCAGGAGCGATGGAGGTAGATGAGCCCCTGAAACTATTGCCCTGATACAATCTTTCAACCTTAAACCAAAAATATCCCCTGGAAGTCATCTTAAAAACAGATATTAGTATAGCTTAACTGGTAAAAAATGTCTGCCTTGAGCATTATGCTCTTTTAAGAACTATATGGGATTAAATTGATAACAGCAACTCGAAAGGTTAGGTAGGAACCTTAGGGGACAGTGTGGTTATCTTAATGAGTGAGGGAAAACTCAGAAAAGGAGGGTGAGAAGGGTTGCACAGTTGGAAAAATGATCAGTGTCACTAAACTATATGTAGAAACTGTTGAATTGGTATATTTTGCTGTGTATATTTTCAAAAACAACAAAATAAATTCAGAAAAAAAAGATCACAGCCTTGGAAACCCTATGGGTTAGTTCGACTCTCTCCTGTAGGATGGCTGTGAATCTGAGTTAATGGCAAGATCACCAGGGCTTACTTCTGTGGCACCATTTGGTGGGTTCAAATGCCCAATCTTTAGTGTAGTAGTTGAGGGCAAACTATTTGCTCCACCTAGGGACCTTGTATCAGTAAGTAGGTTTCCCCTATTTATACAGAAAGAAGTTCTAGTAGCATAGTGCCTAAGGCATTTCACTGCTAACCAGAAGGTTTGCGGTTTAAACCCACCATCCACTTCGCGGAAAGAAGACTTCGTGATCTACTTCCATAAAAATTTACCATCTCGGAAACCCAAAGGGGGCCGCTATGAGTCAGAATCAACTCAATGGCAGTGAGGCTGGTTTTGGTTTTTTATTTAAACAGACAGGCAAATGGAAGTATCTTTAGAGAGTACCTTTAGAGTGAGGGTTAGTCTGGGATCTCAGATGATAGGGCAGTTTCTTCTCTGCACAGTACTTCTATTCTTTTTGTTCCTCAAAGTAGCAATGCTGAAACTTCTTTATCTCCGCCCCCTCCCCCCTTTCTTTTAAGCACATTTTATTTAAGACCTAGAGGGGTTGAAAATGCCAGGCAGAATTTATCTATGATACTTCTTTGGATGCTTTTTTTTTTTTTTCCTACTTCAATTTTTTAGAAACTTTCTTGCTGGTGGTAGTTTATTTGACTGGTACAGTTCTCTCTTTTAGAACTGCATGATATACTCTTCATATGCTATGTATCTATATAACCTTATTTTTCTTTTTAATTATGTTTTTAGCATTCAGAGTGATTAACAATGGCAAAGTAAGTAGGAAAGTATTTACAGAATTCCTGCATTTTCTCCTAGATTGAAGTGATTTGTATACAGGCAGTCCCAGGGTTACAACTTATATATACTTGCCCTTTAGTGTTATGTAAATTTGCCCTCACATTGAAACAATCTACTCTCTACTTGGAACACTATCACCTACACTTGTTGCACATGCAGCTTTTAAATCCTGAAGGCTTCCAGCCTTTTTATTACAGTAAAGTAAGCTTAAGAAAGAACCCTATGCACCTGTTCCAATTGACCTGTAAGTTCTTGAAAACACAGGAACAAATCTTGCTAATAACCCAGGACTGCCCGTATACTTCATTTTGCTCACACTGTGCTTCAGAGTTCTATGGCCTTCTCTAAGGCTGTATATACTACTTATTTAAAATTTTTTCCTCTTTAAAATGTCAGTCATTTATTTAACAAGATCCAAATAGCTGAACACATTATGGAGGGAGTTTTGTTCTTTCCTGGAAATAAAAACCTCAATCTCCAGTAATACATAGAGGTTTTAAACTGTACTGATGTATTTGACTCTTATAATCACCTTCTATGGGTGTAATGAATTATTTATAGAGCATGCGTTGAGAAACCCATCTAGAAAGATCTAAATAGAAGCAGTAGGCTTCTTGGAAGATTGATGTCTAATAAATCAGTAAAGAGTATGTAATGCTTCCTAAAAGTGATCAGTTTTCCAATTTGGAGTAAATAATTTGCTGTTGGCTAATTAGAGGCATGGATAAAAGGATCTCAAGCATCATAATAAATTAAAAATGTCACCCGTACAATTCAATTAAATGATAAAAGCAATTTCTAAATATTAAAATGGAGATGAATAATTTGAGTAAAGCTCTATTTAAAGATTTGTTGGCTGTATTTAAGGAGCTCTGGTGGAACAGTCCCTAAGGCATTTGACTGCTAACCAGAAGGTTGGTGGTTCAAACCCACCAGCCGCTCTGTGGAAGGAGACGGGGCAATCTGCTTCTGTAAAGATTTATTGCCTCGGAAACCCAATGAGTGTCACTATGAATTGGAATCAATATGATGGCAGTGAGTGTCTTGTTTGGTTTTGGCTGTATTTATACTCTAGTTTAAGTGGACTTAGGAGTTAAAGATTAGAATCCATTTGTGGTGCTTTTGCTAAGTTTCAAACATTAGCTTGAGGAAAGGTTTATCTTTTGAGTTATATTTTTCACCACTTCTTAAATCTCAAGGTCAGTGTGCTTGATTATGAAAACAGTTTATAATGAACATTGTTCCTTGATAAAACTCACAGTGGTGTTCCTTTCTCCTCAAGTCCTAATATTGGAATAGAAGATCTCAGTCTATTGCTTCCAACTTAATTTGTGATTCCCTACATGTTTTTAATTATTGTTAAGAATTATTGTAAGGAGCCCTGGTGGCTGACATTCTCAAAATGAATTAAGTATAGGTCACTTTTATTTAAAATGTCAGTTTATATGCTATATAGTACTTCTGGAAAAGAAAATGTCACATGATAAGGGCCTCTCATGATGTCCATAAAGGTAAATAAGGCTCCGAGTGTGTCTGAGGCCTCGCAAGTGTTTGGTTAATGATAATGACTAAGGCAGCTATTGATCGGGATCTGCTGCAAGAGGGAAGTCAGCCAGATGGGGGCACTGTTTCATCAAAAGTTAAAAGAAGCATATAAAAAAAAGGCTATACCTTGATAGTGTTTCATTTGAAAGAATTTTGTTGCAAAAGCACTTTAAACAGATTTTTTTAAAAAATCTGTTTCCAAAACTGATTTGAAATTTTTCAAACTCTGGAGCATAGTGCCTAAGGCACTTGACTGCTAACCAGAAGGCTGGCAGTTCAAACGCACCAGCCACTCCTCGGAAGGAAGATGGGGCAATCTACTTCTGTAGTGATACTGCTTCGGAAACCCAAGGAGGGGTTGCTATGAGTCGGGTCCAACTCGACAGCACATAACAACAACAACGTAAATCTATAGGAACTTTTGATTATTAAGATATATGTAAGACTGAGTTAAAGCCAAAGAAAAGTTATTCAGCTAAACTTACTGTGTGTGTAGGCATAGTTTCCTGGTATTCATCAGATTTCTTAAGAGGGATGGGGTTGGTTCATCACCCAGAAAAGTTAAGAGGTACTTTCTGTATATGAACTTTAGGAGCTTTACATATTTCCTTATGGTGTTCTTTGTTGCTTCTCTAGGTGGCAGACATCAAGAAAGTCAACAACTTTATTCGAGAACAAGACTTATATGCTTTAAAATCTATTAAGATACCAGTGAAAAATCATGGGATCCTAACGGAGATGCACAAAGAGCTAAAACCCCTCTCAAGGCCATCCTCAGAGACCAGAGTGACCTTTTCGGAGCTGCCCAACCCAGACAGAGCAGCTGCAGGTGTTGGGGTCCAATCCAGCCAGCTGACAGATTTCTTTAAGGGGATCGACCAGAATATTGAGAGCGCAGTGCAGTCAGAAATCTTTCTGCATGAAAGTTACTGCATTGAGACCTCCAGTCAGCCGCTGCTTCCTGCTTCTCAGAAGACGCCAGCAAATGGTGCGGACTGTGGAATTCAGTGGTGGAATGCTGTTTTTATCATGCTCCTGATTGGGGTTGTTTTGCCAGTGTTTTATTTGGTCTATTTTAAAATACAAGCTACTGGCGAGACACCTAGTAGCTTGAACACAACTGTTGTACCCAATGGCTCGATAGCAATGAGTGTAATTCCAGGGAAAGCCTCCAAATTAGCAATGCCCATGCCAGCCATCCCCTCTTCAGACAGCCATTTCAGTCAGACCACCCATGTAGGAAACTAAGCTGTTTTGAGTTTTAAAGAATTAGCCCAGCTTTAGCAGCTGGGCTCCTGATGTACATCAGCTGACCCTGGCCATGTCCTATGGGTGCTGCATTTTCTTCTCTAGGACTTATGGACACCTTTCACAGTCATCATTGTGTTCCTGATCACCCTTACCCTGAGGAACAGTGCCAGCTGACCCAAGGCTACAGGAACCCAAACACTGCTCCCTCAGCCTCTTATATCCACAGAGGCACATCAGAAGAGACCTTGACAGGTGACAGATTGCTGCCTCTTAAGGACATTTAATAGACTGGCTGTGAGTGTCCCCTAGGTTGGATGTGCTCAGGAAAGAAGAATGGCCTTAATGAAGAGGGTTGCAGGGTGTGGGCTGCACCTGGGTCAGCTTCGGGCTGCCTGGATATTTGCAGTATCCATGCCTACAGTGGAGGGGGACTGGCTCTGAGAAGCGGTATGCTGTATCTCCCCAACAAAAGTACCTGGACCTCTTTTAGGGAGTGTCAGGTTAAAATTGTAACAAGCCCTACTTCATATTTGCTTCTTCAGTTAGCCTTTGTAAGGCAGTGTCACTTCCAGACTAGAAAAAAACTCCAGATCCAAACTGCCAGAATACTGAGAAAACTACTTTTCTGTTCCTTGCACTTTTAGAGGTGCTTAGTCTGAAACACAAGCATGTTTTTAGTTGCATCATGGTGTGGCTGGCACTTCTGACAGGATTCATGGGGCTGTGGCCCAGTTTCACATAAGGATCATGTCCACAGTGATTCCTGACTGAAGTATCCTAGTTAGTGTTCTCTGAAAGATCCTTTGCTGGCCAGGCTTGTTTTGGTAACTTTGGTAGGTTTGGAGAGAAGGATGAAGGCCTATCTTTAATGAGGTTCCAACATGTGTTCACTTAGCTACCTCTCTCCTAAGGCTGTGCAGTTGGCCAGCACAATGATGCCTCAAGCCCCCGGGAGGGCAGTACCAGGAGAATAGAACACTCATCTTTTTCCTTCCCCAGCTCCATTCTTAGGAATGCTAGAACCACAGCACAAGAATGGGGCACAATCACTTTTCTCTGGGTGATGCCCCTAGAATAACACTCTGTGTAAAATGTAGATTAGTGCTAAAAGACTAAACAGTGTCTAGAGGTGACGCTTGCTGTGACAGCCGTAAAAGGAGGAGGCCTGGTACGTGTCACCCTAAGGTATGCCCTATAAGAGTTCTCTATGTCCCCTTCTCCCAGGACAAGGCAGCAGTGATGCTAAGGCTGGAGGGAAAGGGCTGAGAGTGGGGTGAAGAGAGCCTGCCCAGGGGTCTGCTGTAGCAGGAGCCCTGCTTAGGTATCACAGAAGAAAATAGGGTAGGGTGGCTTGGGGCTTGGCCTTGGAGAGATTCACAGAAGCCAAATGCCAAGCTTTAGGGTAGTAGATGGCATTTGACCACCTTGGATTGGCTTTTGGAATGGGCTTGCTTAGGTAACTTGATACATTTGGCCTCGAGATAAATGTAAGTCTCTTAAGAGGAAGAAGTGTGGCAGAAGAGTACTTGAAACAGCCTTACATTTTCATGTAAAAAAGCAGCGATTTTCCCAGGTTCAATTAGCAAATTTTAATTCTCCTCAAAAGTTAATGTTTTCTTAGATACCAAAATGATCTCCAGGATAAAATGAACTTGTGAAACTTTGCTATGGAAATGCTCTGATCATGTAATGCTTTTCTGGCCGAATGTCTTGCTCACTGTGCCACCAGAGAGCACAGTTTCCCTCACATCTGTCACCATAACCCAGGCAAGGTCAGAATTTAGTGGGAAAGCCACTTTTGCCAGGCAAAGAACAAATACCTATATCTTTTACTTTTCTCAAATGGAATAAAGTAATTTCTTCTATGAAGGAAAATTGGGTCCTCCTTTTTTTTATTTGGGCGTTGATAATTCAGAATTAAAAGACTAAGGACAATGATGGAAAAGATGAAGGTGTCTGGGTCCTGCAGGTCCTGTGTGCCTCAACATAGCAAGCCATGGCCCTGGGCCAGGGTTCTATGAGCTGGCAAGGATGGGACATTTAACAGCAAACTGGCTGAGGGGCCTGCATGACATGCTTTACAGTTGCATCATTGGGTATACATAAGAGACACCATGGAGCTCATTTCTTGCTTATTTTCTGACTTTTCAAGTGTCTGAGGAGTTAGTACCTTAAAGAAATTAGTAGACTTACTCTAATTATTGTCTTCAGTATTTTTTATTGAACTGTAGTACTTAATGTTGAAGCCTAAGGAATCTGTCATCAGGCAGATGGTGCTCAGGTTTTACTGTGGGGACACAGGCTGCAGGAATGAAACACATGCTTCTGGGTCACCCAGAGCAATCACTGCCCAATGACGGCTCAAGGGCAGCCTCCACCCACCACCCATCCCCACTCCTTAAGGTGTTTCTTTGAGTGGCCTCAACTCTGTTGACTTGGAAAGCTGTCTCGGGTTGAAGGGGAGTAAATTTGGGTACCAAAGCGATTGCTCCTGGGGAGGGCTTAATATTTTTCATCAAGTCTAACTACATAGTTTATTTTTGGGTTGTCCAATATAGTTTTAAAATAGGTTTCCAATGTTTCCTCTGTCCTTGATTGGAGAGCCAGAAACCTTATATTGAACTATTATTTTTGGTGGAGAAAATTTGTAATTGCCAACCAATAGTTACCTTTTTTTATTTCCCTATCTTTCTTTTTGGGACTCTGGTAGCATAGTGCCTAAGGCACTTGACTGCTAACCAGAAGGCTGGCGGTTCAAACCCACCAGCCACTCCTCGGAAGGAAGGTTGGGCATTCCTACTTCCGTAGTGATACTGCCTCGGAAACCCAAGGAGGGGTTGCTATGAGTCGGGGCTGACTCAACGGCAAATAACAACTAACATCTTTCTTTTTACTAAATCTATTAATTCAGCAAACTGCATGCAGAAGATATGTCAGTCCCTGCTGGGGACACAGCTATGGACAGGATAGCATCTCTGCCCTGGTAGAGTTACTTTTCCAATAGACAGCATACAAACACAGTACCTTCAGAGGTGAAAAGTGCTAGGAAGACCCCATCATCCCAGGGCTGTGACACAGCATACCCATGTGTGAGCAGGTGGGGGTGAACTTTGGATTTCTGAGGTGATATTTAAATGGAATCCACATGCAGAATCCTGCAAGATCCCACCAGTCATTGAGTTTTAATTTTCACTCTAAAGCCTCAATGACCTTTCGTTTTTTCAAGAGACAAAAATGATGCTTAGGAAATACTTGAAGATTCAAGATGGAGGACAAGCCAGTCCTTCATATATTGTACATAATGACATTAAGGAAAAAAAAAAAAAAAGGTAGAAAAAATCTGTGTTTTGTCTAAAACATTGCCCAGTGCAAAAGGTCTTGGTCCAGAATTACCAGGTGAGGACCAGGAGCTGGCTTCCTGTACAAGCCAGGGCCAAGGCTGTTTGGAGGGGGAATCACCTGGTACAAGGCCTAGAGGACAGTATGAACACATGGTTGGCACCATGTGAATGCAGTCTTTAGAAGAGTAGATACAAGGCAGATTTCTGTATAATGTGGCAGTAGAGGAACTTTGGTTTCCCAGTTGATTGGTGTTGAAATCCTGTTGCAAATTTGGACAGCCTTTTGCGATGGTAGACAAGAAGCTTGTCTCAGAGGGTTTGTAGTTTATTTGTAGCCACTGTTCAGAGACCAAAGTCAGCCTGTGGCTCTGGGTTTGATTTTCTCCAGTGACAGTATTGCTTTGATGTCAGCTTTTCAACCAAGAGCAGAGAGCAACCTCTGTGTCCCTCTCTTGGCCCGTTTTTTGGCTTTGCTTGGAAGCTTCCTCATGATAAAAGCCAGGAGTACCTTAATGTAGAAATGTTTGGGTTAAAGAGTTTTAACTGTTACTGTGTGATGTGGAAAATTACATTTACCCTCTCTCTAGCAGGAACAAGAGGGTCTGTGCCCTGTAGATTGGCAGTCCACTTCCATGCCTCTGGCACTTAAGTGCCCTGTAGAGAGACTGTCAGAGAAGGTCTTGGAATAATTTTCCAATGGGCTAATCCATCCACTTATTCAAACCATTTGCATGGAACCCCACTTCTGTGCTGGGCACCATCTGGAGCAGCCTTCTGGGCTGCAGTGGGATGGCATGTGCAGGGGAATGGGGGGCGGGTGGTGTGTCTAATGTTACGGAGTTGAGAAAATAGCCATTTGGTTGTCAGAGGTGGAGGCTGAGCTCAGGGCCCAGAGTCATGATGACTTCTCTTTGGGAAAAGGCTAGGCTGCAGCCCTAGGAGCAAAAACAGTCACAGGATAACTTCTAGTGCTCCAGATGCCATGTAGTGCTCTGAGAGCATCATGTGCACTATCCTCCCAACAGCCTCACAAGGTAGGGACTGTTAGTATCTCATTTTACAGATGGAGAAGCTTAGCTGGCTAGTAAATGGGGGTCCAGGGAGTCGTGCTCTTAACCTTGCTGCTCTGGAGAAGGCACTGACATGCCTGGGGCTGGCTCACAGAACATGATAGCCACTTAGGCCCATCTGCCTGCTAAGATTCTGCCCTACCAAGGCAGGGCTTCAAGGAGTTCTGGTGGTGTAGTGCCCAAGGCATTTGACTGCTAACGAGAAGGTCGGTGGTTCAAACCCACCAGCCATTCTGCAGAAGGAAGATTGGGCAATCTATTTCCATAAGGATTTACCACCTCGGAAAACCAAAGGTGGTTGCTGTGAGTCAGAATCAACTTGATGGCAGTGAGGGTTTTTTTGTTTTGTTTTAAGACAGGGCTTCAGGAAGGAGCAGGAGAGAAGAATGAAGACTCTCTCCTGGTCTGTGTTGGAGCAATGTAGAATCAAGATTTATGCTCTCTTGGTGGTGTAAAACAGGGCTTGTTCATTTAAATAACATCCCTATAAGAGCCATACATCTGGAGATCAGTAAGAATCACCTAAGAATCTTGTTAAAAATGCAGATTCTAATTCAGTGAATCTAGGGTGGAAAAGAAAGCAAAT